CATATATGCCTCCATAATAACCTTTCTGTATAACACCGTGGCTTCAAAAAATATGTGTGTAATAAATGGTGTTTACAATTACAAATTTGATTTACCAAAGAGAAGATGAGAAGATGAAGTTCTGGTAAATGTATTACACTTATGACTAGCTTCTCAGGATCATCTTCTTTTACAAGACAATACTTCATAACATTCTGAGTGAAAATATAAGGCTTTGTATAAAAACCTCTTTATTAGATTACAAATGTATAAAAAACTAATAAACTTAAAATTCATTATTTGTTTCTCAGGAAAGCCTGCATCAGCATACTGACGGAAACAGTTATCTAGGTCTCCAAAACTTCTGAGATTACCAGATTTTAGAACAGCTTCCTGTCACACTAGGAACAACTGTATTTTCCATTGTGAGCCTGTAAATATATTTTAGTTTCAAAAGTATTTATATATTTAAAACAAAATAGTTCATTTAAAGAATAAATTATAGTTATTTAAGTAATTTAAACACCGAAATTCCCCACAAAATGTTGATGAGTTTCCATTAAATGTTTTTATTTAATTATTATTCTTAAAATAGTTTACATTATTCATCTATTGTATTAAAAATCAAATGCTCAAACCTGAATCTATGCCAACTCTTACAAAGGTATTGAGGAAATCCTGCTTTCTGTACTCAATAATAAACTTAAGATATTCTGTAATATCTTTTACAAAAACTAAATCTCTTTTTACATGATTTAGTATCCCTTTCTTTTTATCCAAAAAAACGTTTTCTAAAACATTGAGTGTCCTTATGTATCTTTGTTTTATCATTCAATTTATCTTCCGTATTACTTTTAAACTTAACTCCATTTCGCCTGAAAGTCTTTAAGAGAACATTTGATTCAAACTGAATCTATTGCAAACAAACAACTAACTTGTTAAACTCTGAAAACAGTATTTCTGTCTGTTTCATAACAGTTTGACCAAGAGTTATGGGGACTTTGGAACCACCTATATAGTTGACAAAAATGTTTAGAAAGGCACAACATTTTACAAATATATACAAAGAAAGCAAGATTTATAACATACCAGTGGAAAACAGCATTTCTTCACCTTTTTCTATATTATTGTTTGAGTTTATTAGAATATTAGACATTACTTAACCTTGAACTTAAACAATAGGACAACGAAAAAGTGGTTTTACAAATGAGATAATAACAAGAAACATTCAGATTTTAAATAATAGTATTATTAATAATTTTTAAAGAAATATGCTTTATAAATATTTTACTTTAATATCTTTATTTAAGAGAAATGTTGCCAGATTCTTTGATTCCTTTTCAGGGTAGCATTTATGGTGTATACCTTTATCAATAACTTGGAAAGATTTTTGACTAACTTTAAAGTAAGCAACATTTGAACTCTTGCAAACACCATCTTTTCCTGAAATTATTTTCTTTCTGTTTTATTTATCTATCTTTATGTAAAGAACTACTTGATAAATTTAATTCAAATTAATTTTAATAAAGTAAGCATAATATGAAACCTTCGATTTTAGTAGTTACCAATTTGCAAACTTTGCATTTGCATTTTTTCCAGGCATAGCATCTTTTACACATATATATAAGGCATAGTCCAGCATTATACATATATATATAAGGCATAATCCAGCTGGATACTTCATAACCTTAACACTATAGTCATTATGACAATGCTTTATAACGAACTTTGCCAAATGTTCTGTGACCTGAATACACTTTGTGTTAACTTGATGAAGTCAAGCTAATTTTATACACTAAGCTATACTCTTTTATATAAAAATACTAGTGTCAAAAAGATAATGTGTCCAAAAAAGTGAAGCTAAGCAAAAAATGTTTATTAACAATAAAGGGGCTTATGATATTCAGGCATTTGAAGATTAAAATCTTTTGTATACAAATTCATATAATCACATGGTATCTTATGGCTATAAAAAGACAGATGTGTCCGAAAAATAACTGTGAATTAAGTCTGAGAACAAAAAAACACAAAAATTTGCGACCATCTGCCCTGATCAAGAGGGGACACGTGCTTTGAAATGTATGGGGACATGTATTTCATTTTTATTTAATTTTTTAAACAATCCAGAATGTAAAACTATATTGTTGCATATATTAGTTCAAGCCTGGTGCTAGACATTGCGAAGGTGGGTGAAAAAAATAATTAGAAGCCTTAATTTAAAAAATTTTCAGTTTTTAATATATTTTAACACAAATTTTTTGAAAAAAGATTATAAGTAGTTTATCTTATAAAATTTTATAAAACTAAAAAATAAATATTAATTTTCAAACTATCTTTTGAAAAAATTTCAAACCCAAATCTTGAATATTTAAATCAGTAGCATTTTTATTTTTAATGAAAATCATTGTAAGGTTGTTTAACCTATCCTGGCCCACAATTGATCTTAAATAATTTTTAAAAAATTTTTAAATTTAATTTTAAAAAATTTCAAAAATAATCTCTTGGCATTCTAGCTACTGTTATTGGTAATTTGATAGGAATTCTCAATGCAATCTCAATTTAACAACTCCTTTCCTCCACCTTTCACCCAGGAAAAAAAATTGTACTCCAACACAATTTTTTTATAAAGCTTACTTAATAAATATTAATGCATTAGACCAAAAACTAACAAGTAAGTGTGATTATAATAAATTAATTTGAAAAAAAAAGCAAGCAACAATTAGATCTTTGCATTTTACATATATTTAAAACAATTCAGTAGGGTAAAACAAAATAAAGACATCTCCAAATATTACATTTTTTGCATCTTGGTTTCATTATTACATTATTAAATAAATTTAAGAAAATTTTTAATCTTATGGCAGCTTTTTTAATTAGCGAAATGATCAGTCACACCTTCTACAATGATTTTGTATTTAAAAATATATTTTCAGTTTAAAGAAAGGCTAAAACAGACATTTCTGCCCACTATTAGACCTATTACAATTGTACTACTTTTTTAAAGTTGAAAAAGAACTTTCTCCTGTATAATTTTTAAAAGCAGCATAGACAAACATCCTAAAAACAACATTGAAAATAGAAAATGTAGAATTAAGTTTTTTTTATTAAATAGCCAAAAGTAAATCCATATAATTTGGTTTCTGGTTTTACCAGTACCCATTTTAATTAAAGTGGAAACAAAGAAATTAAAATGCAGACATTTGTTTGGAAAATAAATGCTCATATCGCTTAGGTAGATTTATAAAAGTAATATGATTGCAAAAAAAACTATAATTAGAATACAGTTGAGGAATTTAAAAAGAGAGAGAAGTAAAACTTAAACTTGCCATTGAATTTCAAATTCAGCTAAAAATCCTCTCCCAGTGGTCTAATCCCTTAATAAACGTTAATTTGTCTAGTTGGCGTTTGCACATTTTTTTTTGTTTCTAGTCAACAGAGTACTTGTGTGTGCCCACTAATATCATAGAGACTATTTTAAATTTTTTTAAACTTGATATAACCTCCAAAAATTTTTTTTTATTTTTCCAAAAATAGACAAATATCATTAAAAATTTCAAATATCATAGCGTCTATTTTAATTTTTTTAAACTTGATATAATCTTTTTCCGAAAATAGACAAAGAGCTATACAGTACATTCCCCACTTTAAATCAATTTCAATGTCTTAAAGCTTTTTGTTCACTTTGTTGAACCTCTTATATTTGTGCTTCAGATGACTATCATAACAGATATTTCCAGCTGATCCATTTTTTGAAAACACTATTGACAACTAAAAACTTAAAAAATGTACTAAATAAACAATCCAATAGAAGAATTTTATTTCTTCAACATGAAAACAAAAAAAATTATTTTTATGTTTTTATATTTTGCTTTATTATTCTATAAAAATAGATTCAAGATATGAAAATAGAAAACTCTGCCTTCTTTTTTTTTTTTTTTTTTTTTATAATTTATTAAAAAAAAACTAATTTATTGTTGGCTGGCCTCTCCAAAAAACCTGGCCCCGCAGAGCCTGCCTATGTTGGACATGTATAAATCAAGCCTGGTAGCAAAAGATACAATCATGTAGATTTCATTTAAATCATTTGCTTACAAATATTTTAAAGCATTTTCAACATCCAAATTTTCAATAAAATGAGAAGAATGTTAAAACTTAGTTACTTGACAAAAATTTTGAAGTATAATATAATATAATGTAAATATAATATAATAATAATAAATATAATAACATAAACATAATAATAATAATATAATAAAATGCATTAAAGCATTAAATCTTTTATTGCAATAGTAATGCAATATAATGTGCAATAGTAGCACATTCAAATATTTTATCAAAAAACCTTTTATTAATAATTTTCTGTTTGATTCTTGTTTTTGCAAGTTTTTTTCAGGTTTGTCAATAAAGTCCTTGCTTTTTCTTACTCTTACAACTTGAACACAAAAAATCAAAACTTGTTATTTTTTAAGCAATTGACTATGCTGTGATTTTTGCAGTTGTTTTATTGATTTTTTTATTGATTTCTGCATTTTTCAGTGCTTCATAAATTTTTGACATTTCAAATCAGAGTTTTTACACCATTGATGTGGTTTTCCTATCATATAACTTTATGGTTTAACAGTTATATAAATTTATTATAATAAATAATAAATTTAAGATAATTTAATAAAGTTTTTTTTTAAGATATTATAGTTTTTACCATAAATTAATCATGACTTATTCTATATAAAATAAGTATATCAATTTTTATAATTATTCTTATAAATTTATACATTTTTATACTTTCAGGAAAAAAATAAGTATTCAATGAAAATTTGGCGCCTTTAAAACCTTAGCGCCTGGGTGAAAATCACTAATTGTACCCGCTTTTCGCCAGGCCTGTATTATTTTTATCCAATATAGAACTAATATAATCGTATATAGAATATATATATATAGAACTAATATAACCATATGTTTCTCAGACTTTAAAATTTATATGGATTTGTATATTTTTCCAAATTATCAATCAATAAATTTACCTTTATCTTTATCTTCAAGATATGCCCTCAGCACTTTACCAGATTTATCCAAAAGAAAATCAAAATAAGAATACTTTACCCTCTTTTCTTCAAACAACATTTTTTAACTCAAATCTAAATAATTTTATTTAATAGAATGTTAAATAAATTATAGTGTTTTTTAAATAAAGTCTAGGATTTTTAAAGAAAAATCCTCTTCAGTGGTATATCCACCAAAACTTTTGGTTACTGTTGCTCTAAATAAATAAAAATACTCTAATATAGTTAAAATTTGGTAACATCAGTTCACTTGAACTTTTTTTTATCTTAAACTGTTTTTTTGAGTAAAACTAAAAACAATTCAATAATAAGTACATAGCTAAAATGATTGCTTAAACAAAATTTAGAGACACTTAAAATATTGGATCTTAAAATTAATTGGTTTTGAAGTAATTTATGATTTTGATGTATTTCTTATGCCTATTTATATACCTTTCTTTATTATTTATGGCCACAACATTAGCCATATATATTTTATTTGTAATTTAAAATTTTAACCAGTTTATAAAAGAAAAAAGAAACATGGGTAAAATACATGCCTTTTATTTGCATAATAAAATTATTACATACTCTGAAAAGATTTGCATAACATTTATTTTATTATTATTCTATCTCTTCCAGGGTTACCACAACTTCAATTAAGTAATAAGAAAAATTATTTGGTCCCAAACAATAAAAATTATAATAAAATAAGTAGATATATGGAAAAAGTAATTTATTTTACGCAGTGGATAGCCTACCGAAAGTCGGTAGCGGAAAAATAAAAATAATCCTACCGAAAGTTTTTTTTTATTAGTTAAAAAATATCACGTGTCACATTAAAATTGCTATATAAATATATTTTGAACAAGGGAAGTTGTAATGATCCGTAGTGTATCGGATATAAGCTAAGCACAGCACGTAGGAGCTCCTGGTTCGAAGCCTTCCTTGGAATGTCTTTTACATTTTCATTGTTTTTTTCCATATTTTTTAGGTTTTATTACGCTTATTAATTGAATAAATTATTTAGGGATATACGCTGGGAATAGCACAATGCATTAATAGACGCAATGGAGTGTTTATACACTGACTGATTTAGGGATAAGCACCGAGGAATGTACATGCATTTACTAATTTAGGGATAGGCGCAGTGAAGTGTACATACATTTACTAGCTTAGGGATAGGCACAGTGAAGAGCACATACATTTACTAATATAGGGATAGGCGCTGTGTAGTGTACATGCATAGACTGAGGGTTTTGGTATGGGGTGGCAGTCATTTCTATTTATTTAATGGAAAATCCTATTTAATTTTTTTAAGTTTTTTACGTTTTTGTTTTTTAAAAATAATATCTTAAATAATCTTCATTTTACGGTATAACAAATATTGTTTATTTTGACATGTGATATTGTCAACCAATAAAAAAAACTTTCGGTAGGATAATTTTTATTTTTCCGCTACCGACTTTCGGTAGGCTATCCACGGCCTTTATTTTAAAGCTGAATTCTTTTCTTTTTCCAATAAATAACAAATTTTAAAAAAAATTATTGGATAGATTTTATAACAAACGTATTGTTGGATTACAAATCAACAATAAGATAATTATTTATTTATCAATTTATGCAATTTATTCTTTAATAAAATTTGTTTGTGAAAAAAAAAGTTTAAAAAAGAAAGAAAGAAGATAAGGAGAAATTTAATAGGACTGAAACATTTTCAATTTTTAGAAGACTATTAAACTTTAAAAAAACTTAAAACTTTTAGTCTTCAAAAAATTAAAAAGGACTAATAAAAGTCCTTTAATTTAAAAGACTTTTAAGTTTTGATTGTTTTTTTAAACAACTTTGAAGGATTCAATTAAAAGAGAGGTGACTCTTTTTTTGCAAAGACCTCATAACTCGTAACCTTTCTTGTTTTGTTTTTGTATTTAATTGTTTTGTATTTGTGCTTGAAGTCAGCAATTTAAAACGAAAACTGTACATTTTTTTAGGATATTGTACACCTAAATGCACTTGATTAACAATGTATGCATTATATATATATATATATATATATATATATATATATATATATATATATATATATATATATATATATATATATATATATATATATATATAAATATATATATATATATATATATATATATATATATATATATATATATATATATATATATACATATATATATATATATATATATATATATATATATATATATATATATATATATATATATATATATATATATACATATATATATATATATATATATATATATATATATATATATATATATATATATATATATTTATGTATAAATATATGTATAGATATATATATTTATATATCAGGTCAACTGAAATCAAATTTCGGCAAAAATATTTTTTGGACAATAGATTGTTGCTTCGCTTTTTTAAACCGCTAACTATTTTTAACGTAAATAACAATGCCAACGCTTTTTTTAGACTGTGTGGGTGAATTGCGTCATATTCTGGTAAACCGAAAAAAATTATATTGAAAATGAAATTGGCTTTCTTTTAAAAAAAAATTTTCTTAACTTGCTTTAAACCATACAATATAAACATTAAATGAGATATTCTTATTTAAATTCAATTTTATCTTCAGTCAAATTTTAATTAAATTTTATGACTTTTTCGAATTTTTTTTTTTTTTTTTTTTTTTGTCAAACGTTTTTAATTTTTTTAATTTTTTTTATTTTTATGCCACATAAATATATTCAAGTCGTAAACCGTAAAGTCGTAAAATATAAATCTTAGACCATTAAAACTGATAGACACGGCGTTTTCGTAAAGGGGCTGTCCATTAATTACGTCAACAATTTTTTTGAAATTTTTACCTCCCCCCTCATCCTTGTCAACAATTTGTCAAATTTCCAGATATAAAGATATACCTCCAGATTAAAAGATATACCTCCCCCCCTATGTCAATTTTTGATTACCCCCTCCCCCTCTCCTTATACAAAGAAGTTACGCTACAAAACCAAGTTTCTATTCATCCGTTTTTTTACGGGAACGGGAAAAATAATCACGTGGGCATGCGTATTATAAGTTTTAATTTGTTCGAAGTAAAACTACGCATGCTCACGTGATTATTTTTCCCGTTCCCATAAAAAAACGGATGAGTGGAAACTTACCTTAATTTTCGTTATTTAAGCAATGAAACTCAAAAAAAAAAAAATTGTTGACATAAACTTTAATTGACCTCCCCCCGCCCCTTGTCAACAATTGTCAAAAAAGTTCAGTCCCCCTCCCCCTATTTTTTGACGTAATTAATGGACAACCCTAAATCTTTGAAGCCAAAATTTTTCAGAGAATGTGACGTCACTTTGTGTCAAAAAACTAGAAAAAACAGTAATAAAAAACTAGTAATAAGATTTTATTTAAATTTTTTAGAAAAATTTTTTTCATTAGAAATATATAGAATATATTTTTATGGGATATATTCTTATAAAGACTAAATATAGTAATTACTATGTCAATTCTTTAAAACTATTTATTAATTACTATTGTAATAAGTACACGGATAAGAGTTTGCTCTTATCCGTGAAATAATATATCTTTACCAGTTTTACATTTTTTTTGTGCAATTATATACACCCTAATTAAGATTAATTTAAAAATATAAGATAAATGCAAATGCAATCTCGACCTAAAAATGATTTTTTTGCCACAAACTGACGTCACTAAGCAAAACTTTTTTCACTTTTAGATTAGCATTATATAGCTAACGCCAGCTCTAATGGTTTAAGATATAAATACAAATAGCATGGGCAAGAAGAAGACATAACTGGTCTTATCACCGAGCCCCTTAGTCTATACCGTTAATATAAAACAAGAAAAATTAAAAAACGTAACAATATGTAATATAAAACGTTTTTCCTAAAAACTTTTTAAAATAAAAATCATCGGTCCCTAAATCCTACTTTAACGTTTAGGACCGATGATTTTAACTTTTGTTAAAATCATAGCTAAGCGCTAAGTCGTTCATCAATAGTTTAGCTTCAATTTGTTCTTAAACTCATTAAGAGTAGCAAATGTTTTTAGTTCTTTAGTTATTATTTTATTTCATAATTTTGACCCTCTCGTATAAATTGAAAATTCAGTCGCCGCAAAATAACTTTTGGATTGAATATTACTGAATAAATCTGGTTAGATTTCTGTTCTGATTTATTTTAAATAGTAGGTAAAATATTTAGGAGATTTTTATTTATTTTGAACACAAATATAAGAACTTGATAGACATTTAATTGATAAACATTCATTAAATTTGAATTAACAAACAATTCTTGGAGTGTATATAACGGCCCACATTGGAAATGATTTTGGTTGGATGTTTTAAAGTTTGATTTTTTGAAACTTCGTTGTTTAATTTTAATAACATTCGATGATTTTGGTTTTTCGCCCAATTTAAATGCAATGCAATTGATCTTTAAATCAAACTACTTTTTTAACAAAAAACTTTGCCTCACTCTCATTCAAGGCTTTTTTTTTTTTTTTTTTTTTTTTTTTTGTAGTTGTTGAGGTACTCCGTCAAGTACAATATTATTGCAGAACACCCCAGAACCAGTGGGCACTGGACATAAAAATGACGTCTTTTGAACGTTTTGGACGTCTTTTGAACGTTCAAAAGACGTCTTTTTTTGGTCCGGTGTCCACTGAGGAATAGCATTTAACTAAGATGTTCACGCTTTCTTCTTTACGAATGTCGCATATCCGGCATCGAACATTAGACCTCTTGGTTCTCAATCAGAACTATAACCAATTTGCCACTATTTTTTTCTACAACTTTTTCAGCGTACAACCTTACTAAAATAGTACCTGCTGTAACATTAACACAACTACTGACTCTACCGGACAATTTATATAAAATATATATTCAATTAAAGTTTTGTTTGCAAACATTGTATTCTTTGGCAGTGCTATATAACTTTATTCTTCTTAAATAACAAATGTTTGTTTTCATTTAATGTTTGATAGAGCTCCATAGCTTTCATTAAAAAAAGTTACAAACCGAGATGGATATTCAACAAAACATTACTTCTGTTTTAACTACATTTGCAACAGGTTTTCCTTTGACGACTTTTAGTCCTATTGTGAGACCTCCT